ATAATATTGCTAAAGGAGAGGGCCTCTAACAGCCTTCCATGGAGTAGCCAAGTCTGTGTGATGGGGCTTTTTAAAAAATGATGAAGCCAGAAGCAGTTTTGCCTGCTAGTGAGTTAGTGAGTACAAGAGGTGGTCCTTTATTTCCTGTGGTAGGCAACATTTCAATCCTATGCACTAGCTACAGCTTTTCTTCAAACAAAAAGTATAAATCAACTTGGTGTCTTGTCACCTTTCAGTTCCTTTATGGAAAATCCATTCTGTTTTTTGGCTGTTGAAATCAGTTGCTTGTAGTTTATCCAGCAAGAAGCCATAAACCACACGACCATGTCATGGGGCACCTGTTCCACTGATCTTTCTTGGCTGGAGTCCTCATGTCACGTTTGCTGTGGTAGGCATACTACTGATAATTTCAGTAAGAAGCATGAGCTTCTTAAGTGTACATTTTTAATAATTTTATTTTTATTTATTTTCCCCTGGTTCATGCTGTTTTTTCATCTATCATTCTTTCCTTATAATTATTAATACTTTGAGATGGCTTAAATGGTGAGTCCAAATTTTCATCATCCCTCCAAGATCTGCAGCTCAGTGAATTCTTATCAATTTTGCAAAAGGCAGCTGCATTAAAGTGGCTTTGTTGCTCAGATAAGAAAAAAGCAAATACAAGTGCAGCCAGATGTACAAATGAACCATGTTCTGGAGCAAGAAGGCCTGTGAAAGAACACAGCCCCCGAAATAGGCATCAGGGAGAAGAGTGACGCAGGTGTGCTCAGACACAAGGTGGCAAGCAGTTCTGCTCCTGGGAAGCAGGGAAAAGCTGTGCCAGTTTGAACAGCAGTGAGGTAATTTTGTTCCCTTGCAAATAAATGTCTTGGAAAAAAGCAGAGGCTGCGTGCCAAGAGGTGATTGATCACGCTGCTAAATAAAGTAGTAGCCTCACTTCATGGGAGGTTCTTCTTGAAGCACGTGCTGAGCATTGATGAGGAAAGGGCTGCAGCCGTCCCAGCATGCCAGCCTGGCATGACACCTGCACAGCAGCAAATGGGGGCCATGTCCAGCACCAGCCCCTGAGCCTCCCAAATCACTGCCCATCAGAAGGGACAGATGGAGCTGAAGGAGTTTCACACAGCAGTCCAATGACACGTGAGGAAAAATGGTGTGACAAGATGGACTTGCCTGCTGTCTCCTTCTTCAGGAAAGCAAGGAGGGCTGCTGGGGAGTTGCCAGCCAAAGAGCCTAATCACCAGATGAGTAGGATGGGGGCAGTCAGCCAAAATGCTGCTCTTCCTTATTGAGGTCATAGGAATGAGAGAATAATGCTGTGAGGTAGCTCTAGCAGTGAGTCCACATTTTCATCATCTGTCCAAGATACCATGGCTTGTCCTTGATACCACAGAATAGAATGAGCCACTGTGTTTCTGTCCTCTCTATGCTGTGAATAATGTCCCTAAGTGACTTAGATAAAATGGCAATGGGATTCCATCCCATCTTAACTCCAAGTCAATATGTCAAGAGAGAGAATGATGAAATACCAACAGGATGCCAAGGTCACCTTCTGGGTAGAAGCCTTGAGCCAAGGAAGATGGTACCATTGTTGGAGAAGTGAGCATTGCCCAAAGAATCAACTGCAATGAGCAGTGCAAAATGGATAAGTCATGGAGCAACTTAGTGCAAACATATTACTGTTCTGAAAACCAACAATACTTCTAGAGCCATCATCCACCTGCTTCTTTATTGATCTAAACATCCCAGAGCCAGTCTCGCTACAGTTTGTCATCTATGATGAAAGTAAGAGGAGTGTTTTACAGAGGTGCTGGAGGGGCTAGGATGGCTGGTGCTATCTTGGCAGTCCCTGGGTATCCTTTACTTGTCATGGAATGGCTCTGAGGCTGTGAGGAACAAAGGTCCTGTTCCTTGCTGTTAGCTGGGATCCTTTGGTCATGCTTCCTCCACTGTGAATACTGATGCTTACTTAAGCCAGACTGTGCAGTATGACAACAACCCCATACATCTAAAGAAGGTTAATACCTTACTATTGTTATGAATGAAGTTCTATATGTCTAATTTAATAAACAACAAAATTAAATTTGGCAGCAATTTGAACTGAACAGAAATTTTATATAAATTAATACAATCGAGTGTATTAAATATAATGAAGCAAATACAAAAAAAAAATGGCAGTGTTTAATTAACTATGATTAAGGATGATTAAGGTTCATATAAAGCATAAGCAAAACTGACCGGGACACGGGGAGGGCTTCTCACCCTGCCTCATGTATGAAACAAAGTAATCCAAACTAATCTTATATTCTGTATGCTAATACATATTCATCAATATTTTTCTGTAAATCCCCTCCTATTTTTGATTCTTGAAATCTACGTCACTATACTGCATACTGCATGCTCCGCTTGTTGTTAGGGGGTCTCCTGGTTTTTTGGTGGTCTTTTCAGAGGAAGGCTCACCATCTTCCTCTCTGTCCTCTGAATAATCTTACAGGTTGCACATGTGCACTAAGCTTTGTGTTATGTAAGTAAGCATTATGTTCTAAATAAGCCTTATTATTTCATAGATTAAACCACAACTTAGATTCCATACTTGGAATCGTCCCAACTTTGCTCATCCCAGGGCTGATTCTGTTTTCTGGAATCCTCCCAACTTTGTTCATCCCAAGGCTGATTCTGCTTTGGGATCTTGCTTATCTCAATACTACATCCTGTATCCTGTTTTTCACGTGTAACATCTGCAAAGTGGTCCATCTGCTTTGTAACACTAATCACATATACTTTTCCTTAATTGTTTTCTAACAATTATTTTCTAAAATATTGATATAGTTACAATTTAATTAGCACAAATCATATCCATTTATCACACACAGCAGTCCAAAGACACGTGGAGAAAAGTGGCGTGACAGGATGGACTTGCCTGCTGTCTCCTTCTTCAGGAAAGCAAGGAGGGCTGCTGGGGAGTTCCCAGCCAAAGAGCCTCATCACACGACGAGTGGGATGGGGGCAGTCAGCCAAAATGCTGCTCTTCCTTATTGGGGTCATAGGAATGAGAGAATAATGCTGTGGGGTGGCTCAAGCAGTGAGTCCACATTTTCCTCATCTGTCCAAGATTCCATGGCTTGTCCTTGATACCACAGAATAGAATGAGCCACTGTGTTTCTGTCCTCTCTATGCTGTGAATAATGTTCCTAAGTGACTTAGTTAAAATGGCAACGGGATTCTATCCCACCTTAACTCCAAGTGAACATTTCAAGAAAGGGAATGATGAAATACTAACAGGATGCCAAGGTTACCTTCTGGGTAGAAGCCTTGAGCCAAGGAAGATGGTACCATTGTTGGAGAAGTGAGCATTGCCCAGAGAATCAACTGTTAGGAACATGAACAGTGCAAAATGGATAAGTCATGGAGCAACTTAGTGCAAACATATTACTGTTCTGAAAACCAACAATACTTCTAGAGCCATCATCCACCTGCTTCTTTATTGATCTAAACATCCCAGAGCCAGTCTCGCTACAGTTTGTCATCTATGATGAAAGTAAGAGGAGTGTTTTACAGAGGTGCTGGAGGGGCTAGGATGGCTGGTGCTATCTTGGCAGTCCCTGGGTATCCTTTACTTGTCATGGAATGGCTCTGAGGCTGTGAGGAACAAAGGTCCTGTTCCTTGCTGTTAGCTGGGATCCTTTGGTCATGCTTCCTCCACTGTGAATACTGATGCTTACTTAAGCCAGACTGTGCAGTATGACAACAACCCCATACATCTAAAGACGGTTAATACCTTACTATTTAGAAAATCCGTACACTTTCACAATATGAAGACTATTTGATACAAGCGTTAATGAATGAGGTTTTCCTGATTAGCTGGGGGCCGGAGGCCTAACAAGAGAGGCAAAGCTAAAAATCCCCTCTGCTGTCCACCTGCTGCCCAAAAAGCAGCTGGATGTGGGTCTCTCCCCATTGGATTGACAAGCTTTCCGCTTCTCAGAGCAGTTTGTTTACAGCTGTGTCTAAAATAAACGTTGCCCAACTTATTTTTTTCCCCCCGCTCCTGTTATTCCTGCGGAGCAAGTTGGATTCCTCTCTGACTCAGGCATGATTAACTAACTTCCAGCTGCATTATCTTTATTGTTGCTGCCGATGCACAAGCCAGCGCTCAGCACGACTCGTGGATCCCAAGCTGTGCTGGCGAGGCTGCCACTTACAGAAAAGGATTTTTTTTTCTAACAGTTGTGGTGTTTGGGAAATGTTATTTTTTTATTTGTGTGTTTATTTGTTTAAGAGACAGCAAGTACCTGCTTTCTCGGGGACCAGAGAAATTAAAATAAACAACCGATAACGCTCCCCGACCTACACGGTGCGGTGCTGCTGGCGGAGAGGCCGCGTCCGGCGGCGGGGGGCACCGAGGCGTCCCGGGGCACGGCGGGACGTGAGGCGATGGGACAGGAGGGTCGGGAAGCCCAGCGAGGAAGCGGTTAACGCCGGGCACCAGGAAACGGGAAGGAAGCGGCCGAGCTCGGCAGGAGCCGCTCGGCGGAAGCCCCCCCGGGCCCGCTCCCGCTGCTGGAGCCGCCGCCGCCGCCGGACCGGGCGCACGTGCGGGCGCGGCGGCGCAGGGGCACGTGCGGGGCGGGCACGTGCGGCACCGGCACCTGGCAGCGGCCGGCCGGGCACCGAGGGAGGGGCCGAGGGAGGGAAGGGAGCTCCCGCCGCGACACCGCTGCCCCGGGGAGTGCGGGCGGTCTGCCAGCCTCGGGTGCTTTTACCCAACCACTCGCCCCTTACATAAGCCGGGAGCCGGTCCGCCCCCCCCCATCCCCGCCGCCGTTCCCCCTTCCCCCTCCCGGGAGCCGCCCCCCTGCTGCAGAGATGTGACACGCCCCCTCTCCATCCCTCCCTCCCTCCCTTCCGTCGCCGTCCCCTCCCAGGAAGAAGCCGGAGTCGGCAGCGCCGCGGGCCCAGCATGGAGTAGGGCGGCCCGGGGCCGGCGGCGCCGCGCGGGCATGGAGCTGGGCCCGGGGCCCTGCGCGCTGCCGCCCGCCGCCGGGGCCGGGGCTAGGGCGGCGGCGGCGGCGGCGGCGGGGGGACCCTGTGCCGAGATGCTGCAGGTGGCGGAGGAGGCCTTCCGCGGCGGCAACTTCGAGCTGGCGGCCGAGATCTACGGCTCCGAGCTGGCGGGGCTGCCGCAGCCCGAGCGGGGCCTGTGCCTCCGCCGCGCCGACGCGCTGGCCAGGGCCGGCCGCATGGCCGAGGCGCTGGACGCCTACGGCGCGGCGGCGCGGCTGGCGCGGCTGCGGCCCGAGGAGCTGCGGGAGCTGGCGGAGAGCGTCGCCCTCAGCATCCGCGACAAGGAGCTGCGCCTCCCGCCCTGGGGGAGCGGCGCGGCCGGCGGCGGCGGGGCGGAGGGCGAGAGTCTCGGCGACCCGGCGTGCTGCCGCCCGCCCGAGCTGTTCGCCTGCCCGCTGTGCCGGCGGCTGCTGTGCGAGCCGGTGACCCTGCACTGCGGGCACACCCACTGCCGCCGCTGCGCCGAGCCCGGCGACTGCGGCCGCTGCCACCGCCCGCGCCGCCCCGCCGAGCCGACCCCTGCCGCCGCCGCGCTGCCGCCGGCCGCCGGCCGCCCGCGGGTCAACGTGGTGCTGGGCAACCTGCTGCACAAGTGGTTCGGCGCCGAGAGCCGGGCGCGGCGGCTCCGCGCCGAGGGCGACGCGCTGCGGGAGCGCCAGGAGCTACCGGCCGCCCTGGAGAAGTACAACCAGGCCCTGGAGATGGGTGAGTGGCGCCGGCGGGCGGAGGGGGGGGCGCGGCGGGGGCAGCGCTGGCAGCCGGCACCGGGCTGGCCCCCGCAGCCGGGCGGGGAGGGGGCTTGCGGTGAGCGGTGGGAGAGGGAGCCTGCCGGAGGCTACGAGCGGGAACCCTGCCAGCGGGTCTCCTCACGCCCGCCCCCCGCTCCAGTGAATGGCTATTTTTGTTCCACTGGTATTTTTGTCCTTGCTCTGAAGGTGCTTGGCGTTTTAGCTGTTCGCTGCCGATGACTCATTATGCAGTATTTCTAGAAAACCCGCTTTCCTATTTATGGGGAAGCCATCATTCAGCGTAGGATACGCAGTAGTGGTCGTGTTGAGCCGCGGTGCGGCTTCCTGGAAGAAATGAATGTGTGGAACAGATTCATTCAGCTACGTGCAGCTGCACCTTCAGCAAGAGAAAAGCTTTGAAAACACCTGATGGGATATCAGTAGGTGTAAAGGCTCAGAAAATTTCCTTTATCTTGCACTGTGCAAAATACTCAAGGTTATCTACGTTTAGCCTTGGAGAGATGGCCCACTCGTGTTTTGAGCGTAGCTCTTTGTTGACACGCAGGATTTCTGTGTGCATGGTGTTCTCTGAAAAGCTTGGCTTTGAATAATAATGCCTGCATTCCTCCTCTGCCAAACCGATGGCAGCCGTAGTTTATCAAGACTAGCTTGTTTTCAGGTTCTGCGCCGAGTAGTAGGTGGGTGCTGCTCGCTCGGTTGTAGCCCTGTAGTAGTGGATGTGTGCGTGCGCCCGGCTGTTTGCCCTGCGAGCGGCGGGGGTGGCACAGCGCCGGGGATGGCGGGGAGAGATCCCCCGTGATCTGCTGCTCCTCCGCTCTCGGCGAGATGGATGTCCGGTTTAATCGAGGAGAAGGGGGGAGAATGCCTCCGTCGTTTTGACACTGACGAAATCCTGCGGGTAAATGTCTTTGAAAGACAAGCGTAGGGAAAATTGTGCCGCTCCTCTGTCAATGAGCTCCTTCCCTGCATTGACTAAAATCGTGTTCCTTGATCGTGGCTCTTACATGCAGGGATAAATGGCTCTGATCTTTTTTTTTTTTTTTATTTCTTTTGCTGTGGAGAGAAGCAATTTCACTGTTATTCCAGTCCTTGGCTCACTTTCAGATTTTTGCCACGGCTTAATGATAGGCATTGGAGATAGAAGAGTTTGGGATGGGATAGCATAGCATACTCACAGCTGGTACTGGCTGTGGAAACCATTATTTCTGCTGTTTCTTTCACTTTCCCAGATAGATGTGACAAGTTTTCAGTCCTATCTGAAAACTATCCTAGAAAACTATTTATCTATCCCTACAAAACTATTATGTGGTTTAGCTGAAGTAATCCCTATTAAAGTAGGGCAGGATGGAGCCCAAGAAGGAAGGTGAAGCCGAGGGAGAGGAGAGACTTAATGTAGGTCACTCGTGGATACGGTGAGTTTTCAGTAAGGAAGCATCCTCATATTTTGGTTTCAGGGTCCTACTGCTGGGGAAAATAGCATCTCATCAATGGAATTAATGTTTGAAGAGTTTTTTAGAGAACTATTTCTCACTATTCTCTCTGCTTCTTGCTGTGTCTGTATGGGGGTGAAAGAAGAGAGGAGACTGTAATGTGCTGCTGGTGTTCTCACACAGCGTGTGTCTTTCTCTTTCCTCTCCCTCGAGTGCAATCTCCAGCCAAAGCTGTTGTGCATCAGGATCTCAAGATAACTCCTTTGCAGTGCCCTTATTTCTGTCTTCAGTGATTTCCCAAGCAGCTGAGGAATCCATTCAGAAAGTTCTCACTCTGTCAGTGAACTTGAATTTTTTTTTTAATAAAATTGTAATTGAAATTAATAACAGGTATCTTGCTAGCTTTTGAAATCCAAATGCCACAGGCTTACATGTTGCAACTTCCCTGTAGTGGATCCAAATTCCTGCTGATGAAGAGCAGCCCATGCCCCCAGCCCATCATCTTTTTTGATGTTTTGTGCGTGCTGGTGTTGTTCCTCACAAATTGAACTGCTGTGTATGAACCTTGTGTTCTTAAATTCTTGCCACATGTTCACTGCTTTTCCGTATGCTGGAGTTGCCTTCTTGTTTTCCAGCCAAGTATCATGGTCAATAAGGAAAAACCCCACAGCTCTTATCCAACTGTTCAGTGTTGAAGTGTTAGCATGTGAGTGACTTAAAAGCACAGGACAGCCCTAGGAGTCACACCAGGTGCCTGAGAGCGTTGTCCAAAAGAGTTCCTGAACTGTCAAGCTTGTGGCTATGACCATTTCCTTGAGGAGCCTGTTCCAGTGCCCAGCCACCCTCTGGGTGAAAAATCTTTTACTAAAATCCAACCTAAACCTCCCCAGACTCAGCTTCCTGCTGTTTCCTCAGGTCCTGTCCCTGGTCACCAGAGAAAAGAGATGAGTGCATGGGCCTCCACTTCCCCTTGTGAGGAAGCTGTAAATAGTGATGAGGTGTCCTCTCAGTTTCCTCTACTCCCAGCTGAACACACTTCTGGTGTGTGAGAAGATAAGTGCTTTTTACAACCTCCAAGTGCTTGTGTATTGCACAAACATGTCAAGGGCCTGGCTATTTGATTTTTTTTTTTAGTGACTGAAGCTCATGAGTACATTGATTATACAATTGTGATATGAAGTTGGGTAGAATTCCAGATTTCTTGGCAGTACACATACTTCAGTGGGATTTTTTAACTGGTGTTTTTTGTGGAATACTTTCCTACTCTGTTTGTTACAACTGGCTTTGTGTGATGATGCAATATTAAAGCAAGTTTTGCTGTCATTTTGCTCGTTCTGATTGTGACCTTCTCCTGATTGACACTTTAGTTCTTGAGGTTCTTCAATTCTTGAATTACATTTCTGGTGCAATCTGGGATGTCGGGAAGAGGTCTACATGCCTTCAAGTTGTCAGCTTTTTCCCGTTGAACTAGTTAGTCTTACAAACTCATACTGTTAGTGAGTATGTTCATCTTTTATCCTTAACTATCACATTTACAACAGCAATGCTGCTCCCATGTTCACTCCTGTAGTCTGCTATGGATTCAGGTGTGGTTAAGTGGGGTTTTTTGTTCTTAAGAAAATCAGCTTTGCTATTTGATCCTTCCAGTCCTCTTGAGATGTGATCTCTGCTGTATTATACAAAGTCACTGCCTTTTTTTCCCCTCTGCTATAGACATTGTAATAGATCCTCCATTATTGTAAGGTATCTAATTACCACAGCTTCAAAGCAAGCACATGTCAAGCTGCTTGAAAGAAAGCATTTGTTTCCAGATGGATCATTTTTTATGCCAAGCTTTATGCTGTTCAGCCATCATAATATCAACTGTTGTCCAAATGTTGCTCTCATGGCTGTTACCCCAGCTTTCTGAATTTCATTTGTGTGGGGTGGGCTTCCTCTGTGCCATCCCTTCTCTTCTAACTAGCCTTTTGATTGGACTCCTAGGTTAGTTAAAGTGAAATATATGATATATGTGTGCAGGATTGCTTTGTTTGTGGGGTTGTTTTCTTTTGTTTATTTGGGTTTGGGACCTCTTTGTGCAGTATGTGCTTTCTGCACCCTTTTTTTCTTTGACCTGCTGCTCTCTCGCTGATGGAGGTATTCTCTGGAGGGACTGTGCTGGGGAGGAGTACAATCATTTCCTTATATCCAGGCATACAGATTCTTTAACCTGTGTGCCTGAAGTTAAAGTAAGCTAGATTTCAGTGACAAATAAATGTATTTTGAGGATGTGCTTTTGGCAGTGTGTTCTGGTTTTAGGTTTTTGTTTTGGTTTTTTTTTTGTTTCTCCAAAGCAGTTCTCAGTTACAGAGGCAACAGGTAGCGTTGGGAAGATTGTGAATAGAGCTTTTCCCAAGTAGAGCTCTAAAAGAGATGAAGGTCTCATTGGGATGAGGGTACATTCATTAGACAACGTGCATGTTACAGGTCCTGGGTGGTCTCTCAGGCTTGCCCACAGGGCTGTGGCTCTGCTGGGAGGGGCTGTGACCTTGTGCCCACCTGACCCTAATCTCAAATGAGCTGCTTGGGGTGTGGAGGGCTGACCCTGCCCTGACTCCTGTGGTGTGAGGTGTGGGGTTTTTTTGCTTGCTGTGTGCTGTACAGTTGGGTCCCAGCCCTGAGGGTGGCACACATCCTATCTGGATGCTGGTGTTCCAGGACACCTTGTTTCTTCATGAGACATGTTGGCTTCAGTGTGTAGTTACCCACTGCTGCAAAGTTCATCAAGCCTGAGAAGATGATTGTTTCTGGAGAGCTGTAAGAGCTCAGCAAACACTCTAAGTGATTGTGTTTACTTCTAGTGTGATGGACTCTTTCTGAGCAGGAGTATGTTTGTCCTGGGGCAGGGGGGGATAGCTAATGCATGCAGCCACTCACATTGCCCAGGATTTTAGTTCCACCCCTGCCAAGGTTTCCAGAATGAGCATACAGGAGATAAAGCTCAGCTGTATCATAGAGTTTTCAAAACACAATAACAGATTGAGGCCTTAGGAAGAAAGGGCTCCTTTGCACATACATATGTGTGGGTCTTTGTTTTAAGTGGATAAAGGATGGTGTAGGAAAGGCCAAGGAGAGGAGGTGAGTTTGTACCAAGCCGAGTAGTGTTAGAGGTAGGAGTGCTGCAGGACAGGCACGGGAGATGCTGCTGTGTGCCTGCTGGGGATGCTCTGGTCTCTGCGAGGGCAGAGCTGCTCACTGACCACTGGCCCAGGGGTCGGTGGTTGTGCTGTTGCTAGAAACAAAATGCAGATGCTTTTGTGAGCTTTGGTGGAAAGAGGAGAATCTGCCTCTCTTGGCCAGGCCTTGGAGAGCCCTCCCCTCTCATCCCAGTGAATGATCATCATAAATTGGTCGGATCCAAAAGAAAGCTTATTGTGGCCACTCAACACTAATTACTTCTGTGGTCAAGCAATTAATGGAAATTTATCTGATGCCTACCAAATTCTCTCTTTGTAAGAATTGAATTAAGGGGGTGGGGCAAGCCAGG